CTACAGAACCAAACCTGCACTCCTGTCTTTCGTAGTCAGCAATACGCTTATCACTGGATTAATGTGGTGAATGGAAATGCCCTTACTTTAGCATTTCCCCTTTCCCTTTGGATCACAGCACACTGTCCCATGACTTTGCTTTTATTGTGCAGAGCATCCATTCTGCTACAATCAGACCTGCATTAAGATCTAATGGGTCTAGGTGGAAATAAAAAAAAAAAAGGTATTGTGCCTGTATTTTAGACAGAAAACAGGCTAACCTCAATAATGAGCAATGGGTAAAATTAAGAACTCTTCGCTTATCATTACTATTCATGTGGGAATGTTCGGGATTATAAACAGAAACCACTGAATTCAGTACTACTCAAAAGCAAACAGAACAAGAAAGAAAGAAAGACTCATTTATTATAAGAATTTTGCATTCAAAATCCTGCACCTTTTCTAAAGACACAGGGAAGGATGGACTAGAAAAAGAAACAAACACAGAGGACCACACACGTGAGGGGAAAAAAAAAAAGCTTACAAAAAAACTGACTGGGATGACCAATGACATGCAAATGATTTTTACAAGAAGCAATCTGGTCAGCTTTTCATGCCAAGGTACCATCCCAGGGAGCTATGGCAGAAGCCTAAAAATTAGGTACAGCTTCAATGTGACACATCAGGGACATCCAATGAATCTAGAAGCCAGACTCAAAGCAAGTGAAGAGACACCCATTCTTCACCAAATGGATGGTTAAGTTACGAAAATCCTTCCCTTGGCATGTTATAAATTCAGAAGGTAGAGATAATACCACTGTAATGCTCAAGTTGCTCATCTTCTTAGGCAATGTGTTTTGGACACTGTTGGAGACAGGATGCTGCAGGAGGTGGTATTTAGTGCAACTCAGTTCATATAAACTGGATTCTGACCAGGTTTATTTTAACAGATCAAGCTATTTTACGTGGTGTGCAATTAAAGAAACAAAGTCAACCAATTCAGAGCAGCTCGGCTGTATTCAAGGGTGTTTTTTCCTTTATTTGCTTAAGAGTTTAAAGAAAGATGCAAACATTTGTAACTCATGGTCCCATGCCATGCACTCAGTTAATGATCCAAAATGCAAAAACAACATGGCTTATGAAAGAGGGTAAAAAGTTACTTCACAATTTTATAGAGCAAGGCCCTGCCAGCTTCCAGCAGGGCCGTGTCTCCTCCACCCCCTTTTCTTTTTCAAAGTTACCAAGGAAGGAACAGAAGGGAGTGATAATTACTGGTAGAGTTTATAAATAACAAACTAGAAGAGCATTAAACAATTAAAATAACTTGTCCTGAGATAACTGCTCTCTGCACATTTAAGCAAAAGACTGCATTTCCTGTTGTATCTTTGACATAAAGAGTAAAAACCCGAACACAGGATTTTCTTTTCCCCATTTTAAATAAGTTCTGTGCCCCAGATTTCCCAACTCTTCACAAATATTGCAATATGCCCTTTTGTCAATGACACAAGCCCTGCAAGGAAATAGATCCTGCCTTCCCTTCCCCAGAGAGAAAAAGTGAAGATTAAGTTACAGAGCATCATCCAAAGAAAGTAATTCCATCTTGTCATGTCTGTGGATTATTGTTCCAGAATGACAGTTCAAGCCATTCCCCCCTCAAAAACCAAACCAAACCAACCAACCAAACAGCCCCACTGCAATCTGAAATGCAGATGGTGCCTATAGGACCACTTGTCATGTCCTGCGTCCATTTTTCTCTGCGAGGGGCAGGCTGCTAATTCCTGTTCCCTCTTGCCTTCCTCTTCTTCCACCCAAATCCTCCCTCTGCCTTATCCCCCCCTCACCCCTCAAAAGGGTCCCACCTTCTCCAATGAAATACTAGCACAATTTTTCTCTTCCTGCTCCTCTGCTAAACTAGTTTACTGCTTGCTTTGTTTTTCATTACTATGGAAATAGACCCATTCTCAAAAAATTGTTCTTTTTACTTGATACCAGGTTAACTGGACCCTCGCCCCTTTTTAATTTTAAGGAATAATAAAGGAATAAGGAATAATTAAGGAATAAAGGAATAATAAAGAAGATAAATTGAGCTGATTCTGAATCTTTAACTCCTGGAAACATTACTTCCCTCTCCAGCTCTACATCTCTTTTATGGGCTGGAGTCCCCATCCTATAGAGTGCTGCAGTATCACATCAGCTGTGTAATTGCTGCAGCATTCCTAAGGAAATTTAGTAAAAAAAAAAAAAAAAAAAAAAACAAGAGGAGTTGAACTACAAGATCTTAATGGAAAAAAACAAACCCCAAGCCCAACCACTTCTCATTGGAAATGCTGCAAGATTATATTTGTCCTTAAAAGTTTCTTTGATCAGAAACCCAGAGTTCTGTCAAGTGACATTATTAAAAACAAATGCTGTGAACAGTTATAGCAGGAAGAGCTCTATTCACAGGAATGCTGGACTCCGGATATCTAATTCTTTGATCTTTCCACATTATCTTTTAGGAGATTAAAGGAAATTTCTACATTGGTATAGTGGCACCAATACAGCTGTAGAATAGCTTAGTTTATTTTACTATAACAATTCCTAGATCTGCCTAGATTAAATGAGGTGCTGGCTGCAAGCTACACACTGGTTCTTCCCCTACACTCAGAATTTTTACAGAAAGTAAATACATCTGGCCTTCAAGCAGCCAAAATTGACACAGATAACCACATTTTTCTATCACTCCCTTCCTCCCCACTCCTCATCCTCCTTAAGGCCCCACTTTCTGCTCAGGTTTAAGCATCCTTGTCCCTTTCCTTGGCTGCTTCTTCCCTTAATGAGCCCTGGTTTCCCTCCGTTCCTGCATTTCAGTAGCCATTCAAGCCCTCTGCCGGTTTAAGCGCTGTGTGGTGTCCCAGCATGACCCTTTCCAAATTCTTTCCTTCTAAGTCATCGAGTGAAATACAGAGCAAGCCTGTTACAATACCATTCCACCCACAGCACTAGCCACTCTTCCTTCTGCAGCTGAGCAGTCTGTCTGCAAGTCCTCTCCAGTAAAATTCCTACTTGGAGAATGGAAAGTTTCCAGCACAGAAGTTTTCATGAAGTTACAGTGAAAAGAAAACAGAGGAAATTAACAGAACTCTATGTACTTACTACTTGATGGGAATTTTTGCTGCCCAATGTAACTTCTTGCTATAACACACTGGTCACGTAAAAAGGCAATTTTCAAGCAAGTCAGTGTTGTCCAAAACACTTTTCTGTCAGAACTTGAGCTCTTCTGTTTCTGATGCCTCTGGGCTTCCATTTATTGCATTATAGATTTACAAAAACACTTGCAGAGCTGAAACTTTTTGTATTTAACTTTAGGCAGAGAACTTAAAGTGACTATAATCCATTTATATGAAGAAGGGCAGCATTACAGAGAAGAATATTGCTCAGATCAGAAACTGATTCCTCTCTCCCCCTCACTGTAATTTAAGTTTAGGCTATTCAGCCCATTATAAATTGTTCTGACCAAAACTCTGTTGCATTTAGTCTAGTCTCAGCTACAGGGGAAGATTTAAAAGAAGCACTTGAACATCATTAAACTGGTTGAATATTTTGTTAATGTTCACCAGGACATATTTTTAACTACTGTGCCACCCAGCCATCTTTACAGCATCACCATATTAGGAAACAAGACCACTTACCTAGCAAGTAGTTTCCCAGAGTGAACAAACATTTCATTATTATGTATTTTAAGCTATCTGAGTTCCCTTTAAGGAATGCTATGCAATTAGGCAATTAAAATCCCATCTTAAGTGTCTCCCTTCATCTGCTTAGAAAGAACCTTCTTTCTACCAGAGGACACAACCACCTTCAGAAGCTAGTCTCTGAATTAATCCAGTCCTTGGAGAGAAGCCTACTTGAACACAGTAATAGAAGTTTTTAATTTGCTACTTCATAAAAAGAAGTTTCCAAGAAACTCCTATGTTATTTTTATTATTTGTAAATGGCTTGATTGCATAGATACAGAAGTCCTTCCTGCAACATATGCACTACCTGCCTTAAAACTGCATGTTTTCTACTGCCTAAATAATCCTATAGGATTCTGTATAAGCTTATTGTCTTTAATGGCATGAGTTTGCTACTAGCCAAAATACACTATCACTGAAGTAAAATAAAGATTGATCCAAACTTTATTATATTAGCTGTTAGAAATCTCAGAACAGCTGTATTTAAAAAAGGCTCAAGCAGTCTCAATGGGCAGAGCTACATTATACTCTTCTTGTTCATTCTGCAAATGCAATAGCACAAAAGCATCTTGACAGCATTATATGCAATAAGTTAATACCAACAGATAAGCTTTTGGCAGGCAGTCATTAGCCTTAATTTTGTGTAATGGCTAGGGACAGCTGGGCAAAAAGCAGCTGCTCCAGTACAGCTGCTATTGGAGCATTGCTGAAATAACCATCTCATCACACGTGGTAATGAAACTTCATTTTATTATAAGCAAAACCAGCTTTTAGATTGCTAGGAAACCAGAACCTATATACTTTTGAAAGAGCTACCCACATAGCGACTGCTATACTTAGAAACTAGTACTTCCCATTAGAGAAAAAGGGAAAGCATGGAGTATTACAAAGAAGAAAACCAAACCCAAAAGCAGTCATGAAGGAAAAAAAAAAACCCCAACTTTGAGTTAATTATACAAAATCGGTCATATCCCATTATGTTCTATCCTTCCATACAACAGTAATCCCTAACTCCAATTCCCATTATTTTAAATCAAGAGTGATTGGTTCTAACAGACTTCCACAATGTTTTCTGCTTACCAATTCCAGCCAGGCAGTTTGGCAAAGACAATCTATTACAGTCCACACAGCGTGCTCTTCAGAGGCATTTTGCCATTACTTTCTTCCAAAGAAATAAAGGAAAACAAAGTAACTGAATACACACACTGCATCATTGTAGGCAAAAAGAGGGACTGATGCAGTCAGAAAGCTACATAGATCAACAACTTCTAGATAACAGCAGAGGCATCCGACATCAAGAGTGTGGAGAAAGGCAGAAAACCACTGTCTTCAGTACTCCACATTGAAAGGATACTCCTTGTGACTTTTGCACCTGAAAGGAAGCAAAGGGAAAGTTTTAACTCACAGCTATGGTAAATATTACATACAGCTGTAGACACTGAAGAGCAACCAAAGCAGAAACTCAGTTGTATAAAAACAGTGAAAATTTACTGCAGATTTCTGTTTTGCTTGAGCTGTGTTGCACTGAAAAATTCTTGAGTTATTCAGTCTCAGTTCAAAGCTAATGGGACCTCGGTGCTTTTTAGATAAGTCAAGTTTACATTGTTTACCAGGTGAAAGGCCTCTTTGTGTTCTAACAAAGGCTTTTTATCTGGCTTTAGGCTTCCAAGTCATTGCCATTTCTTGTATACTTAAGGTGTTCACCCACTTTGTATCACTATGAAGAACACACTGACAGCTTTTAATAACATACTACATGGCATGGAAGAAAGTCTCAATAAATTCTATAAGCAAAAATATCCACAAAATTGAGCCTGTCTCCTTCTCATTTCTCTAGTATGGATAGTATTTCACTCAAACCTAGCTTTCTATACAAAAGAACAAAAAATCTCCACACAAGGTCATAGAATCATAGAATGCTTAAGGTTGGAAGAGACCTCTGGAGGTCATCTAGTCCAACCCCCCTGCACACGCAGGGTCACCTAGAGCACGTGGCACAGG